CTGCAAGAAAACGCTGGAGGTTCAACCGTTAGGCAGTTTGCTCTCAGGTACGAAAATTAAAGCACCATTTTTAGATCTTACCCTTAACCTGTAACCCCAAAATGAAGAATCCTGTAAAATAGTGCGGTTCGAGTCAAAGATGAATGTTTAGTAGGCGGATACCTGCTCAAAAAGGCAAAGACATATCACCTACGGCAATTCAATGTTCACTGAATGACATACGCTAAAATGACAACTGAAAATAAAAACTCTTGTCTTAAAAGAAGCAATTCAGCAGTTCTACCTATATTACTTGTCGTTTTGTCGAGAATGCATTTGTCCCTGTCGCATGTAAGGGCAAGCGCAGAGCGTCCTGCTCACTCTAAGGAGTGTCGTATCGTTCGTCATGAGTCTTCATGAAGAAGCCTGCCTTGCTGGTCGGTGGCCTTCTAGCTGCTTGTTTGTCATGCCATAGGATCCAGTATCTCATGGCTCTTTTCCATCAGTTGTTCTCCTGACGCTTCATAAGTTCGGCCCACATGTTTTTGTGGCATTTCGGCATGAGTAACAGTGTATTTGACCCTTGATGGTTCGCGTATGTCGAAAATCCGTATTTCTTCAATGATGCTGAGATATTTGCAAAACTCCGGACCGCAGGTGTATGCGGTGGGGAACGAACACGCTGTTGTCCTTACCGGAGAGTAGCGCACTTCACCACCACACCATCCGAGTTCTTCGTTTTGCCTGTCTCTCAGCTAGTTTTATCGATCTTTCGCCATCAGCAATCACCCGTCAGCGGGATTGATCTGGGCGGCCCAAATCGGCAACGAACCCAGTTAAGCTGAGGCAGCAGTTATAATAACAATCTTAACTCATTATTTACTGCCTACTCTTTTTAACGGCAGGGTAGACATTGTAAAATATAACTTCAATGGATCGACTTTCCCTTAACCTCGGCATTGGAATATGAATGTGTCGTTTTCTTGTTCAGCAATCGCGAGGTTTTTAAACAGCATACATTTACTTCCACAAGAAACGCAATACAATACAACGCTAGCTGACGTTTCGGCAGTATCGCCTTCTTCAGAGCCGCTTCTTCGTGACTTCCAATGAGGAAGTTTAGAACAGCTGATTATAGTCGCATGTGGTTGACGACTCTAATAATACTGACGAATACTGACGACTGACGAAATAACTTCAATGATGCTGAGATATTTGCAAAACTCCGGACTGCGGGTGTATGCGGTGGGGAACGAACACGCTATTGTCCTTATCGAGGAGTAGCGCACTTTACCACTACACCATCCGGGTCCTTCGTTTTGCCTCTCTCTCAGCTAGTTCTATCGATCTTGAGAGACAGGCAAAACGAAGGACCCGGATGGTGTGGTGGTGGAGTGCGCTACTCCTCGGTAAGGACAATAGCGTGTTCGTTCCCCACCGCATACACCCACAGTCCGCAGTTTTACAAATATCTCAGCATCATTGAAGTTATATTTCACAATGTATAGCGTGCCGTTAAAAAGAGTAGGCAGTAAATAATAAGTTAAAATCCGTATTTCCTCTTTTATTTAGGTGATATAGGATACTCCTAGTATTGTTCTCTTCTTTTCTCAAAATTTCATGCGCCGACTAGTGATGAAACGGTACTGGTTGTCTTCCGCAATCTTGGAAGCTATTAGGGTTACATTATAAGAGCTGTTTGTGACTTTCACCACTCTAATTTTAGACGATCACTAACCAATTGGCCGCCGGACTAAGTATCTACGTTTCAGACGGTATAATGCGAACTTATCAAAGCAAACGTCAGTGGCCAGAAATTTCATCATCTCGTGCTTGATGGCTATTTAATACCAATAATATTCACGATCACGAAACAAATTCTGACTAATTCGAGTATGAGTGCAGTATCAGTGCAGAAAGTTTGGTTTTTCCAACTGAATTGAATGGATTTTTTGCAAAGTTCTATAGTTCGATGCAGAGTCCTTGACGCAACACTTCAATGCTCTACGCCCTGTTCCTTCATTTCCTTTTGTAGCTCTTTTTTGTTAATAATCAAGTAGTTCGGTAGACAATTAATTTATTCTAGTTGTTCTCGTTGAGCACCGGAGTGGCTTCAAGAGTGGTGAGAAGCACCAAACATCTCGTGCAACACCAGTTTCCACTGTTCTTTGTTTTGGATAGGCAATACACATGTCATTCAACGACAGCACTAGAATTAGAACCGAAGTCTAGTGGCTTTTAGGGGACATCCTCTTCCAGATTGATGTATAGTGAACAACCAGTTACTGAGTTGGCTACGGTATGGTAATGAGAACCTTTGGAGTTATTTAAAGCTTTTTTAAATTGAACTTGCTGCCAGCGATTTTTCGGGGACCTCGACAATCCTTGATTTACGCAGAATTTGCGTCTCATTTATGAGCTTTTGCAAATTCACCTCATATGTCCTATTTTTACACAGGCCAGGAGATGACGTGGATCTCAGCTCAGATAGCGTCAAAGAGTCTGCTGACAAAAAGAAGAAACCCACTGGCAAATTAACTGAAAAGAAAACTGGCCGAGATGAAAAGAGAAGTTCCAAACCTGCGCACGAGCCTTATATAGAACCGGTTAGCATCTAACAGCTGTTGGCTTCGCAGAACATGTCCATAAGGTAGCAGTTCAGAACTACAGCCAGTGGCGTCTGTGTACTTACAAAAAATCCGTCCTGATTTTGTCATCGCCATTCCTTTTGTAAAATAGTTCGCTTTTCATTATATAAGTAAAAATAGCTTAAGATTTTAGATTGTTCACTATAGGCTTAAAAGGATAATGGATAGAGCTCTCGGCGTTAATCAATCCTTGAGGGATCCACCAGACATCTGACTACACAATGACTTGCGGTGCCCTCCGATGTATCAATTCAGTGTTGCTAACGTCGCGGACAAGTCTGGTACCGATTCGCCGAACCCGGAGGTGTGAAGGGCTTGGTGAGCCCGGGAGTGGCATCGAACGAAAGATCACGTGTAGGGCACTTCTGACCACTGTGCCACACGCGTCCCTGTTAAAGATTCATGAAACGAAAACAGAAGTTCAATCTGTATAATCTACTCGTACCCTCCTAAGAGCTAACGATAGATTCTTCCCTTCCACGCTTTGAATAGTTTGTTCTTTACTGCGTGTGTTCTATACACACCATGTAGCGCAATGGCAAAGGCACTCGCTACAATACACACTTGGTCCCTGATTCGATCTCGCCTCGGGCAAGCCAATTCCTCTACAACTTGGGGTTGGCAAAGTGGTATCAGATTTGTTTGCGGTGAAAATATACTCTTTAACAGAGTGATATTAGTGGTGAATCCTTCAGAGATTAATCAACGTTGAACGCTTTATCCTTTTTCGTCCAATAATTTTATGCATATATTTCCTTTCTTGGAAGGAACGAAACTGTCTTTTGAGCTGTTTTAACACCTTCTTTTCAGCCTGTACTGAAAATATGTCACTCGGTGACCCTCACTCTGCTCGTGCTCAGCTCCATATTAATGGCTTTAACGCTTGTGCAATTCCTCGGCGTATTCGTTTGGTTGCCACTTATATTCGGTGGCAATGACTAACTAGAAACGATAACTAAATTTTTGAACGTTACACATCTTCATATCGAGTTAACATATAAATTTTATACGAATGAACATTTAAAAAATCTATTATTTGGTGTTTTAGAGGACGTGCACTGCTTCATATCATATCACAAAAACTAGGACACAACACGGTGCCGTACAAAACATAGGTATCGATCGTGTGCTCATCGCTCAACTCCTAACACTGCAGCCGTCTATGAGACGATTGCCGAAGAAAATGTCTGAAGCAACAACAATGCGAAAAAGTGGCACTACTTAATTGCCTACAATTACCACTCTGAGTTAAAATTGAGCAAAAGAACATGTGTCTGTTTTCTTCAACCTGATAAAGCGGTTGGGGAAGAGCGAACAGCTTTTATCATCAGTTAGTGCCGAACACTGTCCATTATTGTGCGTCCGGTTGACTGAACACAAACAATCGCTGAATTTCTTATTAAAAAGATCAGAAAGCGGATAAGAAAGCTACGTTCACCGTTGATGTTTCGCGTGGTTTTGTCGAACTATGCGGATTGCGGTTTCGTACGACATAACTGGATTGTGAACAAATCGTCACCTCTTAAAAAGTTTCCCGAATTTGTTTTAACAACGATATCTGGCATTTCTCCCAACCACCCAATGGTTTGCCGCCTCATCGTGGCTGGGACGTGTTCCTGGATGTCGGACTGCGATGTATAGCGGAGGGATTCATCTCCGGAAAGGTCCCCCATGCTGAAAAGTAGTCCGGGGTTTTCGCCAGGAAGCCCATCTAAGAGTGAACCAATGCCAGGATCGACCACCGCTCTGGTATCAAACTAGGCGCATGGTGGCAAATCTCTCTCTTATCCATAAGGGCGGAGACTGCCTGTAGTGGTGACGACTTGGTGCAGACTTCGGCCAGACTGTCCTCAGAACTCCAGGGCGCACAACTACTAAGCAGCGAAACTCCTAAAAGTGGAGAACATGCTGGCGTCCGCACAACCACTAAGGACGGGCTGCCCAAGTATCGAAGTAAGTGTCTAGCATTTCGCTTATGAAAAAACAGTGAGAAATGTCTAATATAACTATGACTACGATTTGATTATGACTAATAACAAAATTTATCAGTAACAGTCACCCTACGGAGGGCGATTCATTTTCTATGGTCGACTAACTCAGTGGTGAGCGAAGTTTTGTGAACAGCTTGGAATAACACCACTGCAAGAATCAATTTAGAGAATCCGAAAAATTAGATTTTAAACATGTTGACTGAATCGCGATGATGACGAATATGCCCACCTCGACTTCTCAATACATTTCGATTTCTATGTGTCTGTTTGGTGCTTAAGAACCATCTATTATCGTTTCGCTTCCGAACGCCTTGCTAAAAATTTTGAAGAACACAATGAAACGCTGCAGACCATAGGTTTCCTTCATGGATAATCTACCCAGATGGCTGAATATGAGAATATTGGGCCTGGACTTAGCATTGACATGCTGCAACCACCACCACCAATGGATGCACGAGACATAAACCAGTATGAGGATGTCGGTCCAAAGGTAGTAAACTATTTTCATTGCCAAAGGAGAAACCTAGACTCATCTTAGCATTCACTGCTTTATATTACTTTCAGCAGATAAGCAAACAAAGTGTTCCCACGTTCAGTAAAGAAGGGATACCTCAAGGAAGCAAGGAAGATGTTCCAATGTTAAGTAAAGAATCGGTGCCTACCAATAAGGGAAGCAAACAGGGAAAAGAAACTAAATCTGGCCATAAAGGTATGGAACTGGTTTATTAAATACAGTCACAATTCTACAAAAACATTGTCTTTCCCGTTTGTAAAGAACGGCTTATTACAACGTAATATAGATTTCCACAATGTCATAACTACAAAGAGATTTTGGAACCTTCGTTTGCGTTGGGCGAGGTTCGACACTGCCATTAATGTACGTATGAATGCACTTCTTGCGAAGGTTTTTACTGGTTTTTGGAAGACAGACGATTATTTTTCGACAACTAGAGGATATGAGGGGGTGTGAACATGACAACATTATCACATAACGGACTCTAAATTAGCGAGGCGAGATTGGCCCAGAGCAACACGAGCGATTTTCCGTCGTCTGCAGACTTTCTGGTTTGTTGATCATAGTTGATAATTTTTCAACAAATAGAGCGCTTTAGGGATTGTGAAATTAACGAAATTGTAGAAGATACATTACTTTATCTCTGTATGGCTGTGAATGATATAAACACCACTATTTACTCTGTCTTACCTACTTGGATGATTGGATTTCCCGTCCTCAGTGATTGTGCGGGCTCCAGCATATTCTCCATTTTTTTTTGGAGAATTGCTAGTTCAGCCCTTGTGTTTCCCTGAAGTCCCGAGGTCAGCCTGGCTAAAGTCTTCCCCCGATCGTCACCTCGTCGCCACCACAGGCAGTCGCAGCCCTTATGGATCAGAGGGAGATTTAGCACTATGTGACTAATTTGGTATCTGAACGGTGGCAGATCCTGATATCGGTACTGTGTGTTGCTACAGCTCATTACGCAAGAACATTGCTATCAACGCTCGTGAGTACTTTACACCCTATGTCGACTCTATTTCGGTCTTTTCTATATCCCATTTCAAAGAATAGCCATATTGATTAGAACGAAATGACAGTTAATTGTTGGTCAAATCACCGACCAATGAACTTCTTCGAACAAAGGTTTTCCTGTAAATCATTAAGTGCAGAGAATAGTTTTCTGACCTCATCCCTATAATTTTGATTTGCTTTCGATTAGCTATCGAATGGACATACATTGTGCGGGAAAAAATCCTGAAATGCACTAAATTGAAAGTGGACACTGTAGTGTCTATGCTGTTCGTTGTGGATTGTAGAGGTTTTGCGCTCCCGCTGTAGTGGTATGAGCAACATATACATTACCATTTTTTACATGAACCATCTTTACATCACCTATTGTACAGATCCCGGCGCCTTATGCATTCTATTCCTTTCCTCTCATCAATCATTCAGTAAAGTCTTTTGAGCCTTTCACATGTGCTTGGAGATTGGTCTTTTTTATGAATTGTTCAATGATGGTCGAGTGGCTTTATATACGTTCCCAGTGATATCCGTGCTAGGGCGATACTGTGCGGATTTGAGAGTGATTTGGACTCAGGCTAGTCTGCTTCGTTTCCCGATTACAAAAAGATGAGAGGATTGGTGAGCCTGGACGGGGTCTAGCCAACACCATGCTTCTTTGTCGTACCACTATTTACCACATGTCAGTGTGGATCGATTTAGAGTCATATCGCTTCCAGCATTTGGAAGTGTTTCGCAGTTTATGTCGATTCATTCACTTCATATTTTAATACCAGCTAATTCTATACGATGATCCATTCTAGTGATCGCGATTGAAATCCCAGTCAGTTATCAATTAAACTACAGCTCAGTGAACCTGTCCGAAGAAAAACCTTTTGTCAATTATTTTCCCATTTTATTTTATACGACCCGTCTTCAAGTGTACTGTGCCGATCCCAGCACTTCTCACATTCGACTCGTTTCCTATCATCATCTTTGGAGGTCTTACAACTTTTACGTGTGGCTTTTGCTGCTGCTTGAGGATTTTCATTTCATGCGAGGAAACGAATAAAAGCAACTAGATAGAAAACTAACCGAGAAAAAGAGGAAACGATGGATACCGCAGACACCAGCGGTCCGAATTTCTGCAAATATCTCAGCATCATTGTTGTTGTATTTCAGATAATTCGCTGCTGTGAAAATTTCTAACACAGCAACTAAAAACTTAACATTGCGATTTTCATTTCATCTTGAATGTCGTAGAATGCTGGTCGAGTCTCCCCACAGTCCTGAGATAACCGAGCTGGAGTGTTCCCAACTGGATTGCAGAAAATGATTTTTTCCCGGGTGGGTCCGGTGCCAATTTCCCGAACCCGGAGGGATGAAAAGGCTTGATAAACCTGAGGTGGGATCGAACCAGCACCGTGCTCGTGATGACCAGCATTACTACCACAGTGATAACTGCCTCTTTTGTAAATTGTTAGGTGAAACGAATAGTATTTGATTGACCACTCCTGATAATATCTTAGCTGAAAAGCTATCAGTCCCAATACAAAAAGTGCGCTAGAAAGCTCTGTATAGCAAAATAAATCGCTGTAAAGGAAATGAAGTAGATGGAACGCACTTAACCCTCTTCGCTCGCTGCCCACATATGCATAACATGTAATCCATTTTGGCTATTATGTACTCCTTTCCTTCACTTTCACTTCAGTTTTTGCATGCGGTTGTAAAGACATCCTATATTACTGACTTTATTTCTAGTAAAGAGTAGACCTAAAAGGAAAGAAAAGAAGGAAAAAACATCGCCAGCTACTAAGGTGAGCCATAACCATTTCATCTGAAAGGAACTTGAGTGAGATTCTGCTTTCAGTTGACATGGCGGATCATGTTCGCCACCTCTACATTGTTATGGCTAATGGGATTGATATGGCTTGTCACCTTGTTGCTTCGATAGATGGAGATAAATTACATGGTGCTACACTAAAGCGCAATTTTATTTCAGAAGAACTCAAAACTCTTCATATGCAACAATCGTAGTCTTTAATTTCCTCATTACAGCTTTAAGAAAGTGCTCACTTTGTAAATAACGACTGACCTTGCTGAGATAATCAAATAAAGTGATTCATAAGGAAAGGCAAACAAATTCAGAGCAGTGCTATTTCGAGGTTGAAGCTAATAAAGGGCTAAAAAAATGAACCTTTCGGTGTCGATCAATTCGTGAGAGATGCGGCATGCATTTCTTTCTTCATCAGGGATCTTAGTACCGTATGACTGAATTATATCTGGTCTATAGAGTGCATTGCCGTGATCTATCGAAGCATGAAATCAGTACTGTTGTTCTCCTAGCGAACTCTTGTACCAATTTTCCAACCTCAGAGAGATCGAATACTTGCTGAACCTGGAAACGAGATCGAAGCGACGACTTGGTGTGTATTGAATAGGACCGTTTTGCCACTGTGCTACATGCTGTATGCAGTAAAAGCACGGCAAAAAAGTGCACCCTACCTCAAGTTCACGAAAAAGTTCCAGGTCACTGATTAACCATTCGCAAAAGAACAACAAAGTTAAGATTACGTGACATGCAATCTGCCGTGAAAAATTGTAGTAGGTAGGGAATAAAAAGTCATCAATGTGATTCCGAGAACAGCCTCAGCTTAACTCAGCTCACTGCCGATTTGTGCTCCCCAGGCGATTGATTCCCCGTTGATGGGTGATTGCTGATGGCACCGTTAGATAGAAAACTGGCAGAAAAGCGGAGCGAGGGCCTGAGTGGTGTCGTGCGGAACACGTGAGCCTCCGGAAAGAGTAACGGCGGTTTGGTCTGGCCTGGGGTCTAAGTTTTGCAAATTTCTCACCATCATTCTGGTTGAATTCCACACAGTACCCTGCTGTGAAAAATTGTAGTAAGCAGTAAATAAAAACTTAGCAAAGTTAAAATCCACTGCTCTTCTCCAATGAGCAAACACGAGGTTGGTAGTTTAGAATTTATTAGCACAAATTAGGTGACGTTTCGGCGGTTTTGCCTTCATTAGAGATTGGAAAGGTCGGATCGACGTGCAGTCTACTCAGCCAAACAGTTTCGTAGCCCTAGCAGATAAGATTTGACACATAAGTTTTCATTCGCGTAATAAACAACTTCTTTCAAACACCCACCGTTTTATTCTTTGCAAGACTTCCAGTTATTTAGTTAACATCAACCACACAGAGTACTTCTCGAGAAATGTAACTGGGTCAGGTCAGAGAATCAGCCTGAGGCACGACACGAGGTCACGTGTGATAACAAGACTCTCCTCCTTGGGGTTCATTTTTGGATTTTTGGAGTTATTCAAAAAACACTCCAAAGGTTTTACGCATTGATGTTTTGAATTTCTGTGCTAGGATAGGTCAACTACCGAAGTAGTCTAAAAAAAGGATAAAGATCTCGGCTTCGATCAATCCCTGAAGGATGCGCAATGTATTCGACTTCATAACGCATCGTTGGAGGTGACTGAATGCATATCTGGTCTTAACAACGGCTCGCGGTGGCCCACCGATGTATTCCCGGTATCTCCGGTGGCCCTGCGGTGTAGTGCTACTATCCTTCCAGACAAGTTTGTACCAATTTACAGACCGCGGAAAGATGGAAGGCATGGTGGGCGGCGGGTGCGGGAGTCGATCCCATGTGCATTTCAGGGCGCTTCAGACCACTGCGCCACACACGCCTCTAAGTAGTCTGGAGCAAAAAATTTCAAATTTTACTAAACCATTCGCACAAACCAGCTTAAACTAAACAAAACAATAGCATTCACGAAAATTCTAAGAGTTAAGCTGTGGTTGAGAACGTGCCAGAAAAGTCAAGGGTCACCGTATTAGGAAGCATACCTCATCCTGACGACGCGCACTCGCTATTGGAACTGTGTCCGAGCTTCTCACCGGTTCAATCCATTTCTAAACAATCCTTGCGTAGAATTCCATGCAGTCTGCACAAGTTTCAAGACCGACTCTGTTACCAATTTAGATTAGACGCGTTACATAAAAACGAGAAACAACAACAAGTGGCATTACCACCAGCTTCTTTCACTTGAGCGTTCTCCAGATAGCAAGATCCCAATGGCGAAGTAGACATAAACTTTCGCTTATTTTCGGATAGAACTCTAAGGACTCTCAGCCATTACTGCGAGAAATTGTTTAGTTTCAACCTCAAAGCAGCAAAGATGTGGCATGCGTTAATGCGTTCGAGAACTAAATCAGATCAAAAACTTAAACTAGATTACCAGTCCATCACAAAGATGGACAGTGTGTAGTAATTCCTCACCAGCTAGTTGTTGAGATAGCGGAAAAACATCTCGAAGACGTTTCGCTTTATCATGGATCATCTGAAAAGGAATCCAAAAGTCATTATCGAAAACTGAACAACGAATGGGTCAAAGTGGCAATCACGGCAGGTTTAAAACCATCAGATATTTCGTACCTTAAGATCGAACTACCAACATGTTCTGTCTTATACTTGCTTATCAGAACTAACAAGTTAGTACCCTCTGATTATCTGGCGTCTAGCGACTCCTCAACCTTCAAGGTTAGGCTTATCACCGGTTGTGTAGACGGGTCTAACGATAGAACGGCTTGGTTTCTAAACCTAATTCTCATCCAGTTGCTTAAGTACATACCAGCCCATCTGACAAATACCCAAATGTCGCTGGATTGTCTGCGCAACGTACGTCCTAACAGAGTGTACGTAATGAAGTCCTTCGACGTTACCACCCTTTATACAAACGTGTCGAATGACTACGCATTACAAGCCATCCTCGAGCTTCTTGTGCAACATGTAATAATAAAAATGTATGGCTTCTCAATTCACCAGCTCATGATCCTCCTAAAGGAGTGCCTAAACTGCTCGATCTTCAGATGGTCTAGGAAATACTACGCACAAATTAGAGGGTTGGCAATGGGACAGCGACTACCATCAACCCTTGCCAATGATTTTATGTCTAAGGTGGAAGCAATAGTAATCGATTTCAGGTCATTACTTTGCTATAGGAATATAGATGATTGTTTAGTCATCCGCTCCACATATGGAGGGATGAAGAAATGCTTTGAGTTATTGAACGAACTGTCAGAGTACATAAAATTCACCCGAGAGAAACAGAAAGAGCATTGGCTCCCATTTCTCAACGTTCAAATTAACCTACCCGAAAACCGCAACATTACGAAATAGTACCGAAAACCAAATAGTAAAAACATACTAGTTCCTTATCTCTGCTCTTACCCCTAACACAACAAAAGGGCGCTTGTAAGATATGTGTTTCGAACCGCCACCAGCGTATGTAGGTAGAGAGCAGAAAGAAGAATACTTAAATATGGCGCGGTAAATAGCCATTTCGAATGGCTACGAAACTGTAGCTCCTCAAGGTAGGAGTAGAGAAAAAATAACGCCCTAAACAATAATTTTAGCGACAATAAAGTTCCGTTTACCCTGCGCTTTATTTCCAACGAAATATCAAACGTTGCTTAAGAGCGGTTAGTGTAGAGAATTCGCAAAAGTGATAGAAACGCCGGGAAACTCTAAGGCGCCAACTAGTTCGTAACCGCCGATACGACCGTCTGTGTGCAACGAAAAGTTGCATAATTTCCTTTAAGGGTAGAGACGGTGATTGCATTAGTTCGGCCATGGTGTACCTAATCTTTTGTAAAGGATGTGGGGACGAGTACGTTGGCGAAATGGGTAGACGACTCTCCGTCCGTTTAAAAGAGCACGTAGTCGGTAAATTAAAATTGAAACCAAACACTCCACTAGGTGCGCATAGGACACAGAAAGGTAACAGAGAAGATTTTGAAGTAGAATTCACTATCCTCACACAGGAATCCAGGACAACAGCGCATAAAACTCTTGAAGTGTTTCGGATTAACTCCAAAAATCCAAAAATGGATAAAGAGAAGTGTCTTATTATGACGCGTGACCCCGCACCATGCCTCGGGCTGATCCTATGACCTGACCCAGGCACATTCCTCACGAATGTATTATTCTGTGTGGCCACTCTCAATCAGTTAATTAGAAGTCTTACAAAGAATAGAACAGTGGTTGTTTAAAAAATGTTTATTATGCGAATGCAAAATTTGTGCGTTAATTCTTATCTTCTGGGATTATGAAAGTGTTCGGCTGAGTAGATTACATGTCGATTCGACCTTTTCAGACGGTTTTTAACGTTTACGTTATAATGCCCAAATCTCAGCTCATAACAGGGATGGCCAGTTAGAGCCATGAAAATTCGAGTACCTTTGCCTACAAGATATGTGCTTGCTTCATCCATCGCTCTGATATACTGGGTTTCTTGAGCTGGCGAATCGCCATTTTTCGCTTTTTGTCGTTGAGGAAAGTGATAGAACAGATAGAAGTGTTCTAATGTGCGAAGCAATTAACTATTCCGAAAGAACCACCAGCAGTTGTGGAGAAGTTTATCCTACATCGAGGATTATACGTGCTATTCCAAATCGCAACCAGTTTACCTTTCGCTGTGGGACCAAAGTAATATAGCTTTTGTAACGGTCGCCTAGCCTAACTTAGTTGAACGAACTAGGTGGCATTTAACAAATTCCCAGACTATTCTATAGTGTCAGAGGCAGTGTACATGTACAAGATCCCTTATGAATTTCAAACTCATTACAGTTTTCTCACCAGGTCTACGAGGTTCGCGGATGAAACGGGGTCTTTCGCAAAGACAAACAGAAGCGATTCCGTGAACACTGCCACCTCTATCTTCCCAACCCAACTAAGCCGTCACTATAACTGTAGATCTTCACAGTAGTAATATAGACAGAATACAAGAGAAGATTCTAATTTAAGCAATGAAGCGTTTATCACCTTACTCAACGAAGACGGTACACGTTCATTGAGTCAATTTCTATTGTAGGAGCGGTCAACTCTACACGGTAAGCGAGTTAAGTCAATAAGATTACGGCTAGATATGACACCACCGTTGCCATTTAGTGCTCAATTCAGAAGGTTCGAAAACAGGCTTAAAAATGGGAAGTGAGTATTTTTTGACAGCATTCGTGAGCGT